TTAATAAACCATTTTAATTCCTTAAGGTTTCAGTCCATGTGTGGATACCGTTACTTGGTGGTCTGAGCATCTACTTGATAGATGCCAGAGCTTGGATCCACTCCTCAGTTCCCCCGCCCATCGAACTATTAGTTGGCCAGCCATCGATTTTGGTTTGTTTAAGGTCTGTTCAGGGCCAACAGATTTGGCGCCCCTTGAATATTTAGACAAATAGGTTTTATGGGGCCAACAACCCTGTCAAGACTAGGCTGCCAATGGCCTTGTGCAGAAGAGCACCTTAGAAGGGGGTTTTAGTCTTATCCCTGGCGGAGGAAATGCTGCCAAAACATTGTGGCCCCAAAGTCCACTCCATAGTAGGATAGGTCGGGTATTTAACCCAGGTCCGGTTGGCTGTAGTTTTGGTGAAAAACACAGGTGTGGGGAAAAGGAAAAGATCCCAGACAGGAGTCACTCCCTGGATATTTTCAATGAACTTTTCAGAGTAAAAGTGCTTCCGAGTACAGGGCTTTGTAGTGGCTTTACATGAGACTGTACTATTGTACTGTAGGAATAACAGCTGGAAAAAATCCCCGAGCCTCCCTCTGGTGCCAGGCAGGACCTAGCAGATCTGGGGCTCCCTGGCAATCTGAAGAGGACCAGCAGAAACCCCTGGCAGGACAGAGGAGTGATGGATACCTACAGCGGCGTGGGGGAGTGACAGAGACCCTTCCATGGAGCAACAGAAACCCTCAGTGGAGCAATGGACACCCCCCGGCATCATGGAGGAGCATGGAGACCCCAGGAGGAGTGGCAGAGACCCCCGGTGGAGTGACGGACACCCCCCGATGATGACTGTGAAGCTCAAGCTGAGCTGGGCCTACTTACAAAAGTTAAAATACAAAATATGGATGACAACTGCATAGTGCAAAAGGATGCGAGTTTGCGGGCTGGACCTTCTGAAAAGAAATAATGAGGCATGACTTGCAGCGTATCTTACTGTATTTGTGAAGGTTTTAAGCAGGCTCCTACGTGTCTGGTATGTGACAGCCAGAGGGGGGCCTGGGGGGTGAGGGGGGTGTTGTGGGCTGCTTGGGGCTCCCTGCCCTGCTGCCTTTCCCCAGGGTGTCTGCAGCCCAGCAGGCAGGACCCGGTGCCGGAGAGAGCGCTGCGCCACAACCCTATCCACTGATGTTGTGCCCCCACTTGGGGTCGTGACCCACAGTTTGGGAACCGCTGGATTAGATCCCTGTTGGCTCCATGGGGCATCCCAGGTCAAGATGTGCTCACTGCGTTTCCCAGCCCCAGTATAGTGGGCATGGGGGCTGTTAGTTGGCAGCCTGGCACGGCCAAACCGTGCTTTGGGCCGGGCAGGACTGCAGTCCTGGTTCTTTGGGACAGTCCCCCAGTGGCATTGACAGGAAATTTGGGGTGGCCCAAGAAGTATTTTGCCCCATAATCCCATCGTAATCTGACCTTCATTTAGGGCTCTGTGCTTGATGCGGGGTATTATTTTACATATTCATTAGTACATATGCATAGCTAATGATATTCTCTCTGTTTAGGATGTGTAATTCATTAACAACAAGTTTTTATTGGGTCTAGATTAGCTTTGAAAAAGGAATCGGGAACCGGGAATAAGAAATAAGGAACCAGCTTCAGTCTCACCTCCTTGCAAGTAGTATAAACACGGAGAACAAATGTATTACAGAAACAAAGGCAAAGAAACAAAGGAAACACCAAATACAGGGTAAAACACTACCAACTACAAGGCAAAGGTCACAGCTTGCACCCTCTTGGGGTGGCTTCACCCGTGCCCAGGCAGTCTGGGGCTTGGGGGTCACCCCAAAGGCAGTTACAGGGGACTGCACCCCGATACCTGCCCTTCAGCAATAAACTGCAGATGGAGCTTCACTGGGGAGTCTTTTCAGCAGCTCCGTGGGTTCGCTGGGCCGTGGGAAGCTGCTGAAGTGCATGGATTTCCAGCCATAATCCCAGCCCAAAAGCCAATTCCTTATTCAAGCCCATATAGTTAGTACAGTGTCTGGGGGGTGGGGGCTGTCAGATTAACTCTGGCTCTAGACAGCAGAAATTCCCAGCCCCAATCCCAGCTCTGCGGGACAGACATTGCAAAAAGAAACTTCGCAGGAGAGGCCCGGCCCGTCTCACTGGGCCTGAACCGGGCAGCAAATGCCTCCACACTGAGGCGTACACCTATAGCTGGGGTTCAGCCACGCGGCTAGGCTGAAGCACCACAGCCACAGAAAGAGGAGAAAAAACGGGCCAGGCCTGTGGCTGTGGCCTGGACATCCGGTCTCAGCTTTCCCCCATGCGGAGACCGTGCAATTACAGAACGGAGGGGCCAGGCCCCTGCAGCCAGGAACTGCCGGGACCCTTTCCTGGAAAGTTTGCTTCAGGGGTTAACACCCCCATGGCATTAACCCACTGAAAAGAAAACAAGATGGAAACAGGAGTCGCAAACTCCAAAACACACTTTCTTTCCCTCTGCCTAAGGGTTTCCCTTTAAATCGTGTTTGCTCGCCTCTCCAGCCAAGAGGCAGGGAGACCCCCCAGTCTGGAGCAGATTTCTCTGGCTCCCGCTGCACCCCTACAGCTCTCGCACGAAAACGAAGAGCAGCCCCAAAGTCTTAGTCACTTGTCCTTGTACACCTGGTGTGACATCACCCATGCCTTGTCCAATCCGGGAGGCCACGTGCGAGTCTTTCTCCCAACCAATCCGCATGAAGAAGCCTCCATTTTGCCACTGTGTAGTGCGCAGGTTTGTTATTACCCTGAAATAGAATAGTTTTCTGATAAGCATACTGTTAGGTTAGAAGCCTCTGCTGCTCCTGGCCAATGAGGGCAGAGGGTTTTACATATTTCCCCCAGATCCAGGCTCCAGCATGCCAGGTGCTGAGCACATGGCCAGAACCACGGGGACCATCTTGCCCATGTCAAAACACATGCAGAAAAAAACCACACAGCCCAGTGTGCGCGCGGGGGTGTTACGTACATACTAGCCACATGCGTGTCCAGAATAACGGAGGAGAGCACTGCTGACGCCCAGGAACAGGGGAAGAGGCAGGGGAGCTTGCACGTGGTGGCCACCGCCACCGCCCACCGTCCTGCGCTACTGCTGCTCTGCACCCAGCTGCGTGCAATCTGCCCCCACCGCTCCGCACCCAGCCCCCTGCACCCCCACTGCTCCACGTCCAGCCTCATGCCCCCCTGCACCGTGCATCACTCCACGTCCAGCCCCATGTGCCCCCTGCACCCACCACCGCGCATCCAGCCCCATGTGCCCC